CACACGGGGAGCCAGTGCAGCGATTCTAAAACCGGTGTAATGTGGGCCCGCCCTCTGGTCTTCGTCAGCACACATGTGGAGCATGTTATCTGCCTCTCACCTGTGATCAGCATGCATGTTTTTCCTGTTCTGTGGGAATACCCAGAGGGAACGCACACACTAAATGGTAAAAATGGTAAATGGCCTGTATTTATATAGCGCTTTACTAGTCCCTAAGGACCCCAAAGCGCTTTACATATCCAGTCATCCACTAAAGACCAGCCCTTTGAGGGCAGGGCTCATTCCAGGAACCTTTTGGCTGATAGGTGACCATGGTAACCACAGCACTGCAACCTGCCACCCATGTGAACCTCAGTAAAGCCAAATCCAGTCCATGAAAAATAAACACGACCACCATGAAACTTCAGAGCGTTGCCAGACAACGCGCTTTTGTGTGTATGGGAGTGTGCGGGAAATACCTGCCTTGATTGACATGACTGAATGAGGCGTGTCCTGGGAACATCAGCCCACTTAGTTAATTACTAGTATTACTACAGTTATTATTTTTATTTTGTTCTCAATAATTGGTTGTCGATTTGTGACCATAAGCAGGCACGCTGCAGTGTTCCTGAGTCTGAGAGCAAGCCGGGGCAGATCTGTAAGTGTGAGAGGAAAGCTTAGTCCCATTAAGTCCAACTTAACGAGTTTAATATTTAAATATTCTTCAATAAAGAAAATGCTTTCTTACAAAATCACAAACATGTTGTATCTTTTGGAAAGTATCTCACAAATCAGCAGCTGTCTCTGCGAAACAAACATCACAATGTGTAAAAGCTACAATTTTCAAAATAAAAGCTTTAAAACTGGTCGTTGTTTGTTCAGTTGACCTTTCTTAATATTATGCTCTTATCTGTTTTCCATTTAACTGGACTGCCAGGATGATCCTGCCCCAACTTGTCTCACCAGCGTAGTTCAGGTGCTGAATCTAGAACCGGTTCCACACATTTTCCCACAAAAACCGCTGGCATAGCACCACAAAACTTGCTATTCCCAAAGTTTGAATCACAACTGTCAGTGGCTATATGAGGGGGGAATGCAAAAAACTCATTAATACAAAACCTGCCTAGTAAAAAACTCCAACTTCTGTGAACTTTGGTTCTCAAAATTGTCACATTGTCACAGATGCAGTGGTGGAAATGAGGAAAAACTGGGTTCAAACAGTCGTCTTACGATTTTAGAAGAGACCTGTTGCAGGGTTTGGGAGGGAAATCAACATTTACTGTTGAAAAATCAGACGTATCAGAAAAATGAGACGCAAACCAACCACAACGAGACACAGACATAAAAGAAAGACGAAAAATGACTACAGACAAAATGAAGAGCAGTATGGGAAGCAACCAAAAAGAGACAGAAAACAATTATAAAAGGCGCAAAATGGCAGAAGAGACACCAAAAAGAAAAAGAAACTGTGCAAAAAGAAGTGCCACAATGACTCAGACAAAGCAGCCACAAAGAGACACAAACTGTCTGCAAAGAACAACCACAGAAAGATCAGTCACAAGTTCCAATACTGAAGAAATCTGAACAGGTGGCAAAGAAGAAATTACAGCTCTAAAAATACACACAAGAAAAACTAAACACAAAAATATGGTTTGCTAAATATGAGCAAAGACGCCAGACACAAAACAACAACAGAAATATTGCAACACAACCACAAAGCAAGACGATAGCAAGACTGCCACAAACTAAACATAAAGTAACAATGTCCACGAAGACACAAACTGACTGCAGAGAGCAGTTGCAAGAAGATGAGAGGCAATAAACATACAACAAGACCAAAAAGAAATGTGGAAAGATCATGAGACAAAAAACCCCCACAAAGAAACTGAAACACAAAGCAACCACAAAGAGAAAAAAGAACACAATCACAAAAAGCTCTAAAAAGTCAACCATGAAGAAACTGAAAGGACACTAACAACTAAAGGTGGCTCACAATGGCAACGAGCTTCAAAAAGGAAAATGACATGAAAGACACAACTGCAAAAACACACAGAAGCAGAGACAACAAACAAATTCCAACAGCCAATTGCCAAAAGTCCAACAAAAAGACTCAAATTGATCAAAAAGAAATGTTAAAGGACAACAAAGTCCACCAATCCAAGCAGATGACAAAGCCACAGCAAAAAAGTGGAAAACGGTAAAGAAAAGATGCTCAAAATGTCCAATAAATAAGTAAACTGGGAATAAAAACCCCTAAAACATGAAGTTGACGGTGCTGTGTAGAACAAAACTATAACAGAGAGACACAAAAACACATAAAATTAAAGGAAGGAAACATGAAGAGAACCAAAATGACTCCAGAGTGATGTCGAACAACACAAAGAGACTCTTCTTTACAGGAGGGGAAAGTGGCCCGTTACACATCCCCCCTTTTTGTTACCAATCCAAAACTCAAGCACTGCTCTCATGGACAGTTTAAAATGTGCTTAGTCCAGAATATCTGTCTGTGGGTAACAGAATCACTGCTTTAGACTCCAGACAGGAAAAAGGGAGGAAATGCAACAAGAAGAGAAGTTGCACTAACAGAAAATGTTTGAGCAATAAACTCGCACATGATGAAGATTTTTTATCATGCATAGGAACAGAAATTTGGTGCAAACTATTAAAGGACACAGCAGAAAACCTTGCAGTAGAGTGTTTCACTAGCTGGAACAACAGCTCACTCATGGTTCGGAGGGCGTGTCCTGCAGAACTCTACCTGACAATCTGTCAGTGGCTGCAGAGCGTAGTGACAGCAGGGCATGTGAAATCACGGCTGAGCTTTTCAGGCATGCGTTTGAGCATTCGACCTGGAGACAGCTTCGGGGGTGGGAGGGTGGGGTCACTGCAGCCTGGGGTTCGAGTGGGTGGAGCTACACAGGCTGAAACACGAAAGATTCCCCGGAACCCGACAGGTCAGAGAACACCAGGAGTGAAAACGCAAGGAGGAGATTTGTGTTGTTGTTAGGAAAAGTCTCCGAGCCAGGCTTCAATAAAGTAAATACAACAACATCCTCAAAAAAATTGTGGGTTTTAAAAATAGTTTAAAATCTTCCAAAATGAACTAAAACTATCAACAGAATGTGAAGAAGCAGCTGTTAAAGTGGAGTAAACCAGGGCGGGGCTGGTATAATACCAAGATGTCCCAAAAGATGGAGCAGTGGAATCTTTATTTAATCAGTTAAGTCGTTAAACAAATGTTTTTATTTGCAACTGTGGCAAAGGTGAAGCAAGTCGGGGTAAACAGAAACATCATGACACACCTGGGGGTGAAAACTGCTACTAAATTAGTTACAAAAATCTCCTTTGAAGTGACCTTCAGCTGGCGGCTGAATGAGATACCAGCAGCAGCCAAGATGGTGCTGGTGGAGTCGGTTCAGACATTTGGGTGAATGATTCAGACGCTGAGTGATACCGAGGACACGGTTAGAGAGTCAGCTGTGAGGAAACATGAGAGACAAGCGCTGGGGTTAGCCAGCAGGCAGTGAGTGCACTGAGTGAGGAGACAGTGACGGATGATTCTCTCCTAAATGAAGCAACAAAAATTCAGAAACGCTAAAATCTTAAATCACCTGAGCATCGGGCCAAAGCAAAACTATGGGAAGGAAACTGCAGCGAGGTGCGTCTGTGCAATGACCAGCTAGCAGCTGATTATTTAGCACTCCAGTCTCTGGTGTGGAGATTTCTGGTGTCATCACTAACACTATTCAGGATCTGTGTGGGCACACAGGCACAGACCAGATTCAGGACCCTTAGCATCCACATGTTCAGTTCCAGATGCACAGTAATCATATAATGTCATAGATTGTGTGTTTTGTGTGTGGTGTGTACTGAATGAGGCCAGTAAAGTCTACTCTGCAGCCACAAAACGGGAATGGAGCTTCAAACTGGTTGATTATGAGCACCAGGGTGGCTCCATGTGCATCTTTTATATACAGTCTGTGGGAGTTATTGACGAGGCGATTCTGCCACTGGAGGTAGCAAAAAGTAAAACGAAGGCAGACAGTTACCACACACCCTTTGTTTCTTCTACTGTTTTTGATAAATACACCCAGATCTGCTCCTCACTATTTCTTTCTGTATTCATTCCTTCAGTCTTTGTTTTTATGCTGAAAAAGAAATAAAAAGTATTGAAGTTTTAACAATTTTTAAAAATGTTTTTAAAAATACAGATCAAGCGACACAACACGAAGCGTGATTTATGGAGTTTGTTGCGCGTGTTGTGCATTTTTCTACAAAATAAAGCAGTTTTATGCAAAAAAGAAATACTTTTCACCCAGATGGTTAGAGAGTCTTCAGGATATACCCTGAGAAGCTTCTGTTTGACATCTTCTGAACGATCTGAAGCGTTCCTCTGCTGCTGGTCCGGAGGCACAAACTGGGACCAGCCTAAGCAGAGAGGCCGCTAATGTCCCCACTTAAGTGTCCCTTTGATGTGACATTAGGGCAGAAAAGGGTCTTGGAAAAGTCCCATGTGGGCTCTATGAAAGCCGCTCTGGCAGCGGACACACAAAAGGGCAGGGCCCCTCCTGTGTGTGCTGACATTTAACGCTTGAGGGTTTTTCTTGTGTCTGAGCTGATTAGCGCTAAAATAATACAGGAACAGTCAGCTGTTCCTGTCAATGTGTCTTCTTTTCACCTTTGCACTGAAGGTGTGTGTGTGTGTGTGTGTGTGTGTGTGTGTGTGTGTGTGTGTGTGTGTGTGTGTGTGTGTGTGTGTCATTGTGGGCGTCTCTGTGAGTAGCGCAGCCTTCCCTCGTCAGGCCACTCCCGGGAAGCGCACTGCTGCTCCGCCTCGCACACGGACGCACGGACGCTGTCCTCGCGCGCCTCGGCTGCTGTGCGCTCTTCTCCGTCCGCGCGCGTCTTCTCCTCTTTCTACTGTCCGGATCTAGGGGGGGCGGGGGTGTCGAGGTGGAGGCATGTAGCAGAGGATTCACGGCGCAGAGCGAGCAGCATGTAGCAGCACCTGGAGCTCCGCGAACATCGCCCGCCTCCCTCCTCCTCCGGCTCCTCTGCCCTGCCGGAGCGCTCGTTGCTCCTCTCGGGCTGAAGCATCGCCTGCACCGGGATCTTTCCGAGGATTTTTTTTCTGTAGGGGTGGGTGGGGGGTTTGTTTACTGCACGGGAGTGTGAGCGTGTTCCTCCCCGCCGCTCTGCACCTCTCGGTCGATGGTCGTTGGGGAAGCTTCCATCTTGAGTCCCGTGTCTACCGAGAGAACCATGGCGAGCGACTCCCCGGCACGGAGTCTGGACGAGATAGACCTGTCTGCACTACGGGTAAATGTGTCCCTGCGTGTGTGATAAGCTGTCTGTGCCTGTGCGCGTGCGTGTGAGTTTGCTGAACACCTGTCCCCCCCCCCCTCCTTTTCTCCTTCTTCTCCTCTCCATCCTCACCGGTGATGGATGCGTCTCTGTGCCTTCCTCTCCTTTCTTGCTTCTGCTGTGCTTGCGCGTGCACACGAGTTACACTGTGCTGTATGCGGGGGGGCTGTGATGCTCGTGATTGAGGAAATCACAGCGGATATCAGAGTGTGGGCTCAGGCAGCCTCCTGTTGTTGTTTGTTCCTTTTTTATTTATTCTAAACAATTGGGACGCGATGTAACGACGCTCCGAGCTGTGCGCGTGCACCAACCCCGTACGCACACACACCTGCGCGTGCGCACGGCAGCAAGTAGAGGCTGCTGTCTGTGATATGTGGGGCAGATGTTAAGCTGCCTGCTCATTGACACTTTCACAGCACACACAGATACGGAGGCTTGTGGTGCACGCGCTCACTTGCCTCACTCGTGCACGCGCGTTTTGCTCTAGGTTTCTCACTCTAACACACACACACTCACACACACCGTGAATAATAGCGACGATAACCGCAACAGGAGCGAGTTCCGCCATTTCGCGATGTTGTGGCGACAGCAGCAGCAGCAGCGTGCACTGTGTGCAAGGGGTTATGTGCGTGCACGTGCGCGCGCCCCCGCCAGGATGTGAGATGTGCAGAAGGAGACAGTGCAGGAATGTGAGAGTGTGTGTGAGAGGAAAACTAATGATAGAATCACATTTGTATAAACTTTCTTATTTTTTAATTCAGTGTGTGTGTGTGAGGCACAGCTCCCCTTTCTTTGCCTCTTATGCAACACAGATGTACCTGCAGAGTAACGATCAAGTCTGGACATGATCGACCGGGTGGGACTGCAAGCCTGTGTGTGTCTTTGTATCTCTAAAAGGCACACGCACAGACACACACAGACACACACAGACACACACATCGCTGGGATAAATAAAGACAGAGGAGTCTGTGTGTGTTTTCTTGTAAAAATCCTTTGCAGCCTCCATGAGTAGCTGAAATTAGGTCACCCAGGACGCAGCAGATAGAGCGGGGGGGGGGCGTTTGCGTGACGCAAAGCCTGTCGCAAGCACACTCACACTAGCACACTTCCTGTTTCTGCAGAGTCCCAAATGATCTTGTGTGATCCCCTCCTCCTATAGGCATACCTGCTTCCTCCTCCTGGATGCTCAGGCTGGGGTTAAGCTCCTCTGATAGCTCCGGTCAGATGTTGTATTAATAGCTGTTTGAGGCTCACATGGGGACGTGACCTTGGCGTCTGTCACATTCCATTATTTTACAGTCGCCTGCCTGAAATGGGGCTGAGTCAGGAGGGTGAGGTGGAGGGTGGCTTTGTAGATTTGACGCCGGCTGGCGGAAACAGGACAGGTGAGACGGTCGGGGACATTTGAATGAAAGGGGACCGTGTCAACCGAAAGGAGCGCGGTCAAAATCACAGCTGTGCATCGGCTGCAGGCAGCATCGTGGTGTTCATGAAACAGTGCAGTCGTGGATGTTTCAGAGACCACAGCCCCTGAGATCAGGCAGCAAAGGTCCAAAAACCATCCTGCAGATGGAAGGAGACACAAAACACACAGCGCTGCTTTTTATCTCCATCGTGGGTCTCTGTGGGTCTCTGTGGGTCTCTGTGGGTCTCTGTGGCTATTTTGTGTTTCTTTGTGATCATTTTGAGTCTCCTCGTGGTTATTTTAAATTTCTTGGTGTTTTTTTTTATTCTTCTTGGTATTCTCGAGAAGCTTTGTGGTCGTTTTGTGTCTCTCGTTGGTTGTTTTTGTCTGTTTATGATCCTTTTGAGTCTCTTCCTGCTTATTTTGTGTTTCTTTGTTGTACTGAGTGTGTTAGACATTTTGCAGCTGAAGCCCACAGGCCTCCTGACCCCTTGAGTCTTGAGCCCAGTTGAATCATTTAGTAATCCACTCATTCTTTATAAGACAGTCAGCGCCGTCTCCTCTGGTGTCTCAGCAGTATTTGCTTAGCCGCTCAGCTTTTGAGAAGAAGTCCCAAAGTTCAGTGGTTATGCCCAAAAGTAGACGTGGAACATTGACGCTGTTTAATCCAGTAGTTCGGATTAACCTGAGATCCCTAGAAATGTTCGTCAAAATAACTCGGTTTATGCAGAAAAACCTGTAGCTTGAGGCTGAACCGGTTTGTCTTTGTTAGAGGTTTGTTTACAACCCAGCGTGAGCGTCTATATGTTCCAAAGATGTTTTTCTCAGCAGAGTGATGTCTTACAAAGGAACGAGAACAATGACAGCTTATTCACGTTGTTCTTTTGGGTTTCCACTGTGGTTTTGCTGCACTGTTGAATTTGCAGAAGTGGAGATGATACCTGTGGCAGACAATGGTCTCGGCCCTGCTGCATCGTTTTGTGTTCACAGAGCTGCAGCGGCACTCAGCTCGTGTACGCAGTGCTCCAGTGTAACAGGCTACAGTTTAAAGAAGGGGTTAGCGAAGGAAAACCTCGAATCCTGAGAGGATTAATTAGAGGTAAAAGGAATATTTCTGGTGCACAGCTCGTGAGTTTCCTCAAATATGTGCAGGAGGTGTAGCGATGAGTCTGTTGTGGAAAATGCTGGTCCCCAGCTGCAGACTGCTTGTGGATGCAAACTTGTGTTTTACATGTCAGTGTGAAATCTCACTAGCCGCCCCTCAGGTTAAATGCAGACCTTTGTTTCTGTAGCTTTTCCCCTCATTTGCCATCCAAATTTCTTCTTCACGTCAGGTGTTTGTCATACATGTGTGGTCTCACGGCTGGTAAAAGCTGTGCACAGGTGTGTGTGGATGCACGCTAGGCTCGTTCCTCCAGGATTAGATGTGCTTCTGTTTGACCTTGACTGAAAAGGAACACTGCTTTTTAAGCTAATCCCCTTCAGGAGGCTCTGCTGTAACAGTCCCAACGCTCTCCTGTGGCCTACTGTACACCAACACACACAGACACGCATGCACGCACACGCAGGTGTGCTAATACCAAACACGCACCACTCAGGTATGCTTAAAGATCGACGTGTGTGTTTTGGGAGGTTTGCTGAATTTGAATAAACCTGACTATAAGATTATCTTGTGTGTGTGTGTGTGTGTGTGTGTGTTTATATGTGGGTGGGATTTGACCTGTGTGGGTTGTACCTGTATGTGTACCATGTGTTAGTAGTTGCGTTATAATAAGAAATAAACACATTTTTTTACATTTCAAGGGAAGATTTAAAACCAAATGCACGGTTTTCTCTGGGCTGATTTGACCCGTCTGCACTGATTTGGTGTGCCCAGTTTTGGAGACGCTCTCTGTCTCCTGACTGCAGTGGAAACGGCTCCTGTGGCACCCAAAGAATCTCTTTTTTCAAAATGTCCGCAGGAACTACTTTTTCTTCAGAACTCCACCTGACAGTCGGATCACTGTGCAGAAGGAAGTGGTGAGAGGTTTGTCTTGCCTTTGCCTGAACCATAGTGTTAGTCAGCTGTGTGCTTCTTTTAGTTCCATAGAAAGGAAATAGTTTTGAGTGAACAGCTCAGCTGGGGGTGCTCCCCTTAATGTTTCCATCCCGTCACGAAGCTCTTTCAAACTATTACACTTCTAGGAGCAAGTCCTTCCACTTGGCTGCCATCTTGGTCAGGTATTTTGAAGTTCTTTATCAACGTACGTTTCCCATTAATGTTAGATTTAACCATCAGAGTGGTGCACTGAATGAATTGATTAAGGTGTTCAGTGGCAATGTTAGGTTTCCAGTATTCAGGAAGCAGTAAAACGTGACATTAACAGGAATAGATCTGAATAATGTGTGTGCTTTTTCCACACAGTCCACCGAAACTATAATCTAACTTTTCCGTGGCAAGATGAGAGATCACAAAGTGAGATTCTGGTGAATAAGAGGCATATCTGGCGCTGCCGAATGAATCGAGTCTGTAAGAGTAATGCAGAGGTTATCTACTGAAGGACTAATAACAGTGTGGTGACAGTGGGAGGCTTTTTACAGGGTAATACCACAGGTATGCATTGCTCAGTCAACCTTTTAATGAGTGCATGCATGAAGGTCAGATTCCACTTTGAATGGCTTCATCCTTCTGTCCTGCTCAGCTGTGAACCACAGTTCAGTTCTCCTGAATAACGCTGTGTTTTTTGTTCCTTCTCTTCCCTCTTTAACCTCTACCTCCCACTCTCCTGTCTCTCTTTCACACCCAGGACCCAGCTGGTATCTTTGAGCTGGTCGAACTGGTTGGGAATGGCACCTATGGGCAGGTCTACAAGGTAAGGCAGTGTGCAAAAACAGGCTTTTTCCTTTTCCTTGATTGTGTGGAATTAAATCCATGATGAGAGGCAGTAGCAATGGCAGAGCCATTTTTATTCTTCATCAGTCACAGCTCTAAAAAGAAACCCTTAGTCTCAACTTGTACGGGCCCTTTGTGTTGCCCCTCAAGTCATCTCTAAAACTGAAAAGACTTTTTAGCTCCTTTCTTTTTAAGCAAGCCCCGGGGAGGTTTTCTTCTGATTGGCCAGCTTCTGGAAACCTCCAGAGGGGCAGCACCCAGTGATTTCTGATCTGCTACCCTGCTCACGTTGACTACTATTGAAAAAGGGACTTAAAATCTTGAAGCTTTAGATTTGTTTACCCGTATATCTGAAATTACATCATCATGTATGCAATAAGGAAACAGATAATTGTTCGCTTTTAATGTAAATACCAATAGCAAGAATCGTTTTCCTGATATTAACAATTCTGCGGCTGTTTTGTATTCACAAGTCGACGAGGGCGGAAGGAGGGGTCAGTAAAAACTTGACTTTAAAAGCAGGAAGCTGCTGCTGTTTCCTACCAGTTTGTTTCCTCGTAATGGTCAACCACTAACCTCAGAGTGTTTCACAGAATATAATAAAATGTTTTCATGTGTCAGTGATTTGTTCTGCTGAACGTGGTGTTAGATTAATTACATTTTGTCCCGTAACTCTGAGAACCACTGAAGGCAAAAAGCTGCGCTACTTTTTTACTGTTGCTGCTGCTCGCCTTGTTTGTAAATGTTGTCTTTTTTTATTGTGATGTGAGCTTTGAGAGACTGAGTAAGAAGTCACGCCATTAGCTCCTCCGTTGTCTCTAAAACAAGCTCTCACAAATGTCATCCCGTCTCATTTTTGACTAAAACTGAAGTTACTACTGACTTTCTCTTAAGACGCCCACGCTGGCTGTAAAAGCAGAGAGGCTGTGTGTGTGTCTGCGTGCGTGTAGTCTCACTTTGAAAGCAATTAACGCACTCAGACGTGTCTGCTGATGCACACAGAGCTGCAACAAACTCGTTCCGTCTGCTGGATGTTCTGTATCGATCGTTTCAACGAGGTGACGCCTCCTGTGTGGAAATGATTGATAGAACGAAATTAACCTGTGCTCGTTCTCAAGGCATCGTGGGTAAATTAAGACCTTGTGTAAAGCAGGAGACACCCTGCTTGTTTCAGCAGCGGCACAGAGCAGAGGTTACACTAAAAAAAACCTCTGAGCAAACTTTAATAATGGTTCAAAGATGAAGTTTTATGTTCTTATTACCCTTCATATATTTTAACTGGAGAAACCACACAACTTGAACACCAGTAGCAGCAAGGAGTCCAGTGCATGCCACCCTACTGTTATAACAGCGTCTATTGCACATGCTGCACAGCTGTAGCATTCCTATTTGAAAACTTATAAAAGGTAATGAAGATCAGCCAAACTTGTGCAGGCAGCGCGGTGCACAGGGGGGATTGGGAGCAGTGTTGGTCAGGTTTAAAAAGTAATTACTTACTACTTACTGATTACTTCTCCAAAAAAGTAATCCTGTTCCTTTACTGATTACGTATTTTAAAAAGTAATTAGTTACTTCGTTACTTTTGAAAAACAAAATGAATACGTAATAAAGCAATAGACCTTTCAGCCCAATTCTATTTTTTCTGCATAATCCATCATATAAAATCTAAAAATCATTTTATTAGTTTTAATCTATTAAAATAGTACACATCGCATTAAGCAAAAATGAAATTATATGCAACAGTCTCTGACTTGAAGAAATTGTTTAGCATTTAAACCTATGTTCTGCATATTCCAGTATATAAAATTAATGTCTTTCAAATAGATGCAAGTAAAACACAGAGAAAAAATAAAATTAAAAAAAGAAGCAAAGTCATGTGGTTGGAGTCATTTATTTGTGATGCGTTCAATGGCAGGAAATTAGTGCAGGAAATTACTCTGGGTTACAGTTAGCTACGTCATGTGTGTTGGTGAGTGTGCGCTTGGTGTTCAGTAAAGGAACACCTGGGCTTTGGCGTCAGATCTCTGTCATGCTGGAGTCATGCAAGCGAGTCTGCACTTCCTCCTCAATCCCACAGCCAAGTTTCTGTTGGAAAACCTTCAGATGTCTAATCACTGAGTCATAACTTTGCAGACGAACAGTGACAACAATGCTGAAGATGATGACAAATGCATATTTAAACATTCCCACCAGAAATAATGAAAGGAAAACTATTAGAAACTGTTCATACAAATACAGACAGGTAGGAATGACTACTTTAACAAGTGTTATGAGCTAAATAATCTGGGTAATTCATTGATGTATTGCACGCTGAATTTGATCACAGCCCAATGTCCTGTATTTGCCAATAAAACAAAAAAGCTTTTTCATATAAAAGAATAAGCCAATAAATAAAAAATAAAATCAAAGACTCAGCAGCACTAGAGCTGGGCGATAGAACGATAACGATATGTATCGCGATATAACTTTTACTCGATAGAGAAATTAAGCTATCGCGATAGACCTCGCCGCTCTTGTCC